CCCAATCAAAGATCGACAAGCAACCCTTTCAGGTTACCGCCAACTGTATTTATAAATTTACGTGTACCTGCCAAAGCAGCTACATCGGCCGAACTGAAGGGAGAGCATATCTTAGATTCTTTGAACATGTTCCAAAAAGTCTTAGAACAAGGGAAAGAAAGACTCTGAACAGTGCGATCACCAAACATCTCCTTGATACAGGACATCAGGTAGATACCTTACAATCCTTTAGAGTGATTAGTAAGCAGCCAAACTCTAGTCTTCTGAAGTTTGCTGAAGCCATTGCCATCAGGCGTCAAAAACCTGACCTATGTATTCAAAAGGAGACGGTGGTTAGTCTTTCCTTGCCCTGGTGACAAATATTCCTTCACTGCACCATAAAAAATTTTATTTTTTTTATTTTTTCTTTTGCATTTATTACATCATTGACTCTATTTTATTTTTTCAACTATCTTTCAAATTAATAATCTTTCAACTGAACTCTACTCACTACATTCCTTCAATGTTATTCATTATGTAATCGATTGTTTCTAACCCACTTTTGAACTGTTGTCACAATTAATGTTGTAGAATATTCTTTCACATTAGGTATATATTTACAATATTCAGTTAGCAATTTAAACCCATTATGTAATTATGATTTTTAAATATCACAGGTTGTAAGTAGCTGACGAGAACCTACGAAATAAAAATGAATTCATGCTATTCTGCTAGAATCTTTGTTCTTGCTCTTTTCAAAATGATAAAGGGAACTATGTGTATGAAACAGTCAGTTCTACTGGACGGAGCTGAAACTTCTAGAACTACCACAACCATTACCAAAAATGTACAAGTATTTATAAACAATTGTCTACGCAAAATGCTGAATGTCCGTTGACGGGAAACTATCAACAACGACGTACTATAGGAGAGAACAAACCAGTTTTGAGCCGAAGAGGAAATTAGGAAAAGATGTTGAGAGTGGACAGGAAATGCATTTTGGAAATCATCAAACTGCATCACTAGGCATGCGCTAACATGGAATCGTGAAGGGAAGCAGAAAAGAAGAACATCAAAGAACAGACTGTTTCGAGAATTGGAGGCAGTCATCAAATGGATAAATAGCAAGTGGAAATGATTGGTTGAGTAAGAGTTGGATAGAGACTGCTGGTGGTCGGCCTATGTTCTTCAATGAGTGTTAATAAGCTTAAATAAGTAATAATTTAATATAAAGAATAAGATATCGATTAAAATTGGTGATTACTTTACAGAGAAGATAGTTCTCAAATTATTACACAAAAATATTTGAAATCCTGAATACGTTGAAATTATTTTGAAACATATACAGTTTACTAGGACCTGAATTAATATAATACCATGAAGGTTGTAGCTTTTCAGATAAAGTCCTACTATGTATGTGATATTTTTATTTCAAAAATATCAGAGTAAATTTAAGAAAAGAACGGAGTTATATTTTAAACTTACAATGAACTTACTTTTTAATAATTTTGTTAGTATCAGAAGGATTTCAAGATGTTTTAAGAGGTTTTACAGCGCTCTATTCAGACTTATAAAAAGTAATTTCTAGTTTTAGGTTGCAATGGGTTCACAGAAAACGACTCAGTTCTTTTATTGTTTTGATACCTTCACTCTATTTGTCATAATTTCAATACGAGATAAATCAGTCATTAACACTGTGAGAGCAACTAAGTAATATATATTAGTGTTCAGACGGTTACAATTAGAAACACTTTCAGTAGTGGCTTGAGCAAATAACTATTCTGTTAGTAATATCGTACGGTTTTACTTAGTTATCTAAATCATCTTTTATTATCAGTAACTGTGGTATTATACAAAATACTAATAATATGAGGTAATATATTAAAAGGTAAAAGTTTCATTAACAGTAAATAATTTAATACTGAGAAAAAAGTGATTGTACCTATTAAAAGCAATGAGAAATTATTGAGTGTGATTTCTTCTACTCTAATGGAACACTTTTTACATTCATTTAAGATTTTGATTCGGCAAATCAAATACGCTCTACAAATAATGAAAATATCATCCATATAAATGAAATCTCTCAACTATTGGCCATGAAACAATCAGCCAAGAGAAGACCCAATGGAGAACCCATTGGAACTCCATCCATTTGTCTATAGAAATTATCATCAAATCTGAATTGCACGTTGGTCGTACATCGTAGAAGTAGTTCTTTTAGATAATACGTTTTAAGTGAATATGAGACATTCTAATCACATTTTACTTTACTATGGGGAGTTTGTGAAAGCTAATAATAGGGATAATTAGAAAATCGAAGACAAACACAAAGCTTATCATCATTATTTAAGTTTTTGGACTTGAATCCTGGTGAGTTTAAAAGTTAGCATTATTGAAAAGTCTCATAATAGAGTGGAGTATATGTCTGTATCTCATGACTTTCAAAGAACATTAAGCAGACAGTTTTTGACAGATGAACATTTTGCATACTAATCTGAAACACTCTTTTGGTAACAATTTATTCACATTTCGTGTTGTAAACTATAAATTAGCTGATTCGTGGCATGATGAAATCAATTTTTGATGAGTACTTTAAAAAATCCATCAATGTTCGAAATTTTTTCCCTATACATTTACTTAAGCTGAACCAAAAATGGGACTACTTTTTCTTCATGATCTAAAAGTTTCTACATTGAATTGTATTTAGATTTAATAACATTGTTTTGTAGATAGTGAATACTGAATTAAAGGTTTAGTTTGTAGTGACCTACTTTTACCAAGAGAACGCGATCGATTTAATGGAAACAATCATTATTATAACCAATTGTACCAGTGATTGTTTTACTGTGCTCATTTGTTTAACTGTGCTAGAGACAGCCATATTACTGCTCCATTATCTTCCGATTGTGACCTTGCACGAATTCGGTTACGCTCGGTAACCACGCCTGTACTCCTTTGGTACGATCTCGGTATCCTTTCAATACCACGAGATCGACAACAAATACATCTCGACTACAGCCATTAACTGCTTTCTGATATTTGGCTTACGGGGGATTTTATCGGTTAACTGGTACGTAGTCTTCTTGTAGTGGTGTTCATAGTCAATCGCGACTCGACACCACGCTACAGGTTGAAGAAAATAATCATTTCAAATGGTAACTGATTATAATGTATAAACCAAGTTGATCTTAAATGCTCCTGAAATGAAAATTGTACTATTGAAAATTGTATTAATTAGTCCGGTCTATAAATTGTGTTGATCTGAAATATGTAAGATATTTACGCTATGTATTTAAAACAATCTGACTGCATAGTCAATAAAATTTCTATGTAGTGGATTAGATTCGTTAATCAATCACCTTGATAACCGTTATTATATAAATCCCAACGGTGTTTGAAATCAAAAGACAATAAGAAGTGGCAACTACAGTTTATTAGCGAATAGCACAGATTACAAAGTTACAAGAACAGAGAGCGAATTTAAAGCAGAGAGGCGAATGTGTGTATACGAACAAATACAGAGGCAAAGTCATAGTCAAATCGAGTCAAAGCGCAGCAAAGCAAGGCAAAGGCTAAAAATAGGATTCGAGTACATATATACATGGGAATAGACTCGTCGATCGACATTTAAGTGATTAACATTTCAGGTAGAGAGAGATTCGTGTGTAGGTTGTCATGTGATCAAGCGTACACGTATATGCAGACAAGATAGTGATCATAGGAGTACAAAGAAATATGTGAATCTTTACCATTCGAATAACATTATCTGTTAAGCTAATAAAAGCGCTTATCAAAATTTAACCATAATCGAAATTAGTTGTAGAAGACTTGCTACATCTTCTCACAACTCAAATCCGCTTACGAATACACATAGCTTGTTATTCTAACACACTTTTTGTTACAAACCACATGTCTCATAGGCACTACGTCAAATACTTACTTTAAACTTTCTTAAAATGATTAGATGACCTGTTCACTATATAGTTAACCGGATACTATGTACCTATCTAGATTCGATAATTCTGATATTTGATCATACTTTCATGAAAAAGCTTGGATTAGATTATCGAGCGGAAAGTTAGATGTACTTAAAATTCAATCGCTGAAATTGTTATCATATATTCTTTCTCCTTAATGAACCAAATTAATTTCATCAAGATATACCCTAATAAGTAGATGTGTGTAATCAGTTTATTCAAAATGTACTACATCATATTGTTTCCGATCTACTCCATTGCCTCATTATACTATAGAAACTAATTTTGCTGTTACAAAGATTAAATCTTTCAAATAATCGTTAATCAAACATAATTATTTGCCTGATTGAAATTATGAGTCAATTGAAGCTAGACCACCATGGAAAACCTGGAAGCACTGAACGGCCGTTTCATCCCAGTATGAGACTCCTCAGCAGTGCGCATCCACAACCCCACCCCCCGCGGGATTCGAACCCAGGACCTATCAGTTTCGCTCCAGGCACTTACCAACTAGACCACTGAGCTGGCATCCAAAGGTGTTAATGTCTAACTTCAAACAATCCACGAAGTTTCGCCACCGTACACCATTGTCTTCAGTGAGTTGATATCTCACAACAGACCTGGTTGAACTCCACTGGTAAAATCTACACAAAACTCCTTCTGATAATAATTATTTTTCATTTGAGTTTTGCTTCATCACATCAACCCATTAAATATTATTATTATTATTCTTTTATATATCAGACTGATAGACATTGTGTCCCATTATGTAAGAGAAAGTAACATTTCGTTAAAATCTTTCGTGATATCTTTTCTATATATATGAAGATGTAAACAAATTACCATTTGTCATTCTGATAATTAGATAACTGTTCGTGTACAAACATGTAACTAACGCGAAGACTAAACACGCCAAATAGAGAAAATGTCTTATCTGTTCATGGATACAATGACTCTAATCAATAAGCTTTAAGTAGACTAACCTAAATATCTGTAAATTAGTAATAATAGTTTCTATTCTTTAGAAATTTTATTAGAAGTCTGTGGTATTTCATTTTTACATGTATTGTCAGTGTTAACTTCATTTTCATACAAAGGAAAGTATGTTTATAGGAAAGACAAGTGAGGAAATATACAAATTTCTTTTTAGAAAGTAAGATAAGATTCATTGAAGTTCAGTTACATCTGATCGTAAAGTGATTAACCGGACAGTAGGTTTACGTGTATTATTAGTATTATTAGCTAATTTAATCTCCCAACATGGTGTAATGACATGAATAAAACTTCGACGAAATTTAGCTCCCATTACACAATAAACAATAAAATTAACACTTGAATTAACTACAACTAAAAAATTACGTAATTCTGATAATGCACACCAACCATATGGTAAAACTTTTGGTGATACAATACCAAAATAAATATTAAATACTAATGCTGGTAATTGACATGCAATAAATACACCGACTACAACAATAATCATACGTGTTATACTTTTATCTGCTTGTATTGCTAAACGTGTTGGACCATATAATGTAAATGGAGTTTTTAATGATTTACATGATTTACAATGATCACTTCGTTGAAATCTCATTGGAAATTGTTTAGTAATTGATTTGTTTGATATTGTAGAAGTTTTTGCATAAATATTTGAATTCACATCAACTATTGTATTAGTATTACTATGTGGATTATCTAAATATTGTGTTGAATGTAATGTTTTACATACGGCAAAATCAGATCTACGCAATGCATACATTAAACGAATATTCATTACTAATAAGGCAATTAATGGTAATAAAAACATTACTAGTATATATCCCCATGTATAATAAACAAGACGAAATATTGAATGCCAATCGTATTGTATTGAATATTGTGAAAAATTTGATTCTTTTAGTAATTCAGTTGTATTTATAGATTGTGTTGTAATTTCAAACCATCTTGGTATATTATAAACAATTGCACATATCATACAACAGCATACAACTAAACGAGATTTTGGTACAGATGATAATACATTTGCATGTAAAGGATAACATCCAGCAATATATCGTTCCACTGTTAAACTAACTGTAATCCATATTGCAGAAGTTTGTGCTGTTAATGCAATTGGATAAATGAAATGTGCTTGAATAAGTGCATAAATACGATGTGCTGTAGTTATATTATTGATTTTTGCATGATCAGTTATATTGTTTACTAATTTATTTAATGTGTTAACATGATCTTCTGTTGAGGAATTATGCATTGATAGTAAAAATGATGAATTATCTTCTTCAGCAAAAGGATATTCAAAAAATAATACAACAGCACAAACCAATAATAATATATCAAATACTGATAAACTGATTAAATAAATTGAAACTGGCGATTTCATACGTCGATTTCTTAATACAATAATAGATAGTACATTGCCAATTATACCCAAAATGACGATAAATGGTGCAATATGTGTGTTGAGGAATCGTAGACATAGGCTGAAATAATCAAAAATATTTATAAGAAACAATGAAATAACTGGGAGAAATTCATTTGTATTATAGCAACTATCCTACAACCAATTTTGATTATGGTTAATTTCGGTTAAGCCTTTTTATTGACTAACTTAATAGACAATGTTATTTGAATAGTAATAATTCGTCTATTTCTTTGTACTTTTATGATCACTAGATCACATGACAGACTCTAGCTAAAATGTTGATTGCTTAAATATCACTCGATGATTCATTCGCTTCCCCATGTATATATGTACTCGAATCCTAATACTAGCCTTTGCTTTGTCTTGCTGTGCCCTGGTACGATTTGATTATAAATTTGCCTATGTATTTGCTGAAATACATTCATTCGCCTCTGCTTCAAATTCGCTTGATGTGCTTATAGTTTTATGATCTACGCTGTCTGCTAATAAACTGTAGTTGCCGCTTCTTGTTGCCTTCTGATTTCAAACACCGTTGAGATTTATGTAATAACGGTTATCAAGGGGATTGATAAACGAAGTAAAGCCATTACAGTTTATTATATTAATAAAACATTTTCTAAACATTGTTTCTTACATGGTAATCATACCTGGAATTAAAATTGATGTTATGGTTTAGTTATTTCTTCAGTTTTGCGTTTATAACTCATGACAGACAAAGTATCAATAGTTGTAGTTGTCAAAACGTTTTCCATCAGTTTAGCGAATATTACGAGTGTTAGGTTTGACATACAAAAGTGTTCCAGACTGGGTAGAAATATTAATCTAATAATCCAGTGAACTAATTTTAATAAATACTTTTCCGAGTAAGTAGAGTATTTAAAGTGAATGATCGTTATCAGTGAAGTTTTCATCAAGCTATGCAGTTATAAGTTCAAACATGATAACTAATATGTTATGCGTCCACTCTCTAAATTTTAGGTTCTGGGTTAGCCTCCCGTGTATACGGTTGGTAGTGAATGATGTTGAGGAGTCCCATACTGGGACGAAACGGCTACTCAGTGCTCGTAAGTTTTGATTGATTGTTTAACATTCATGATTTCAATGAAACCTAACTATCTCCACAACCCTCTACTTAGTATTATTCTACAATAGAAAGAACATTAACATTGACCTTATTCATGGTATAAATTGGAAGTGACACATATCACGTCAATTGATTCTTAAGTACTACAAATTACTATCAAAACAAACTCACATCATTAGTATTTTGAAATAAGTATTGTACATGACGCATAAAAGCAAATAACCGCATTAAGGAGACGAGTTGTATTCAACAAGTTAAACTGATATGTTAGAATACAAAATCGTTATTGTGATACTACTACTAATGTAATAAACGAGAACACAGGTGGCGAGGATCAGATGCATAACATTACAGAATATCTTGATAAAATCTGAGAATCATACAGTAAGTTCTTCATTTGCAATCTGTCAGACTTGACTGTTCCTTCGTTTACACACCAATCACTCTTTGTTCTTGTTCTATTTTGTTCAATCTTTTTAACATTCTCTCGCTAGGTATACCATTTTCGGTTGGTGATACATACTACTTATATCTGTCGACATCAGTTGCACACACCACACTACTACAAACAGTCTCATATAACAAAAAATGTTTTCGTCATTTCACTTTTTCTTAGCATTAATATAAAATACCCGGATATGACATTGTTTCTAAATTAACCAGAATGTTACTGATAAAAATTAAAAGGACAAAGTATCATAATGTATCATGAATATAGAAATGATCATACATCAATGAATTGATGTCTTTTCTCTTCATATAGAATCATAATATTCTTTACAAATTGTTTTGGTGTCATATGTTAATAGAAGGTATTGTTATCGTTAAAAACACGAATACAGAGGAAGTTGTAAGCTATAATGAAATTGATAGATAATAATACAGGTTTTCTTCTACAATGTAAATTATTAGAACCATATTATGCCGACCAAAGTATTCAGAAAAATAACTGTATGAAATATCGAATAAACAAAGAAATCAACAAGATTTTGGGTGAGACTATAATTTATGGACGAACCAATCAGATTGAGGATGACATGTCCTAGATTTTGGCACAAAATCCATTCACCCATTTGGCTAAATAGAGTTTTGACATGATAGCTGATATCAGTTCGTGATGAAAACCTTGAATCTAATTCTTAACCCCAAACCATCAACTGTAATTCATAATTCTGATTCCTCACACTGTTTTATTACCCTAATTTAGTAGATAGACACTCTCAAGGTCACTTTAGCGTCTCTCAAAGGTCGTTCATAAATTATAGTCTTACCAGATTGTGTTTATAAACGATTGGTATTATGTAACTTTTGTTGTTGTAAATACGTCTTATTCTTCATTTCAATAATTTTTTACATTTAATAGGTATTAATGTCAGTCATTATTATAAATCTATGAACAATATAAAACAAAGCTAAATCTTATAATGTTTAATAATTATTTAATTGAATGTCTAGGAGATATTGTAATGAACGAAAACACAGATTGGGATGACCAAGTGTAGGTTAACTCAAATATGATAGTTATTTGAGGAAAAAAGTCCGTTAATTATCTCAGACTTTATTGTTCCTTCATTTCCATACCAACTACTCTTTGTTCATATTCTCTTCTATTTGATATTCTCAACATTCTACTACCAGGTAATCCACATTCGGTTGATGTTACATACTACTTATATCTGTCGACATAAGTAGCATACATCACAATATGTTCAATTTATAACTAGCTTTTCTGTTAAAGTGATGCTAGTGTTCGAAAGAGTTGGCAGAAAACCTCTAACATCAGTTTCGTGCTAGCTACATTATTTAAGGTACTGATGTTCTGTTTTGGAATTGTAAAAATCATCACAGTCTGAGACATTATTATTGAGCTTTTCAAACCTTTTCTACTGATAAGGTCATTAGTTAGTGACCAATGTCAATTTTGTCATGCCTATCAACGCAGATCAAATTCTTTCATTCAACTTGTGGTGCATTCACTAGTCTGAATATCTTTTCACTTCATGCACTGTACTGAAACGTTTGGTGGCTGTAGTCGAGTCAGTTTGATTAATAATAACATTTCAATTTCGTCGATGAAATTTTTAAGTATCAAATTACAAGACATATATGATATTGGCCACTACCCAGTTATCAATTAATTGTACAAAGAACCAGCATCAGCCTGCAAATCAATAAAAAACATCTGTTCTAGCTTACAGTTGAACTTCTCAGGTGCTAGTCCTATAAAACCATAAACTAAGTCATACCAAGAAGCATTTGGCATAAGTCTTTAGTTCGAATCGAATGATCTACGTTTTCGGCTAATATTAGTTACTAACGCTACCAGGTTCAGTGCGATTGATTAAACACGTTTTATTACAAGTATATTTGGACAATATTAGTAGACACATTTTATTGGAATTTCTCACATCTCAAGGACTTTACACAATTTTTTCAAAGAGGGATAAATATCAAAGCAAAATCAATAGACAATGAAATCAAATAGACTAGTAGTCCTTCGATTTTACTGTAGGTCTAAATGGAACAAGCTAAGCAACAACATATGTCTAATTGCAAAAATCGCTGGAACCCCAACAAACAATTTATCTAGAGAAATTTAAGAATATTGAAACATTTAATAGGCTCATCTAAAGACTCCATTAAATCTCCCATACAATCCTTGGAAAAGACTAGGGAGGTTTGAACCAACAACGATGAACTGATGATATCCTTCGATGTAACAGCCTTATTCACCTCGATTAAAAATTGCTTAGCAAAGGAAACTCCACCCCTTCTCCTCATGAACGAAACAAATCTCATTAAATAGATGGAGCTTCAAAGTAAGAGTTTACTAGAATTAATCGATTTATGCTTAATAACACATTTTCAATGCAACAATAAAATTTACGAACAAACGTAAGGAACACTGATGAGGTCACCAATAACAGGGCTTATCGCAGAAGCAGTGATTCGGAGACTGAAAGCCTCGGTCTTATCAGAGATCAAGCCAAAAATTTGGATTTGTTATGTTGATAACACATTCGTCATCATCTAAGGGGACGTGTTGTAAAACGCCTATAATCTGATCAACAACGTCTTCGATGACATAAAATTCACAATGGAAAAGGAGTTGGACCACAAACTTTCATTCTTAGGTGTACTGATCACCAGAACCGACATAGGATAACTGGAGAATCAGGTACACCGTAAGATAACACACACAGATCAGGTTTCCAACCACAGTAACAAAAACCCAATAACTCAAAAAATCAACTGCGTACAAATTTTATTCATGAGGATGAAAACACACTGTAGCACACTAGCAGGGCGGAAAAATGAAGAAAAATATGTAATCACTATACTTTGAAAGAACAGTTATCCACACAGCTTCATCAAAAAATATCAACCCGAGTCATCAACATTTACGAAATCATGTATAGAGACCAGCAAACGGATCATTCTACCATATTTAAGGGCCGAATCATAAGTTACAACTAGATTACTGAAGCTGTTGGAAATAAGTGCAACACAAAAACCAGCAAGATCACTTCAATCTGTCCCTTGCAGACCAAAGAACGAAATGACAAAAAAAGAAAACTGAACGTCATTTACATAATAAACTGTTCGAATTCCGAAAAACACTATATCGGACAAAGGAGACGTCTCCTATTTGTTCACCTGCATGGACATCAATTAGCGGCCAAACTCCATGACAAATCTTCGCTTATATCAATGCGTGTAGATAGCTGTGGATACACATTCGACTAGAAAAAGGTTGAAATCTTGGATAGAGGACGTACTGAAAACAATATGGGAGTTTTTGGGATACTAAAAACACCAGAGAATTGTTAGAAGCTTGGCACTCAGTTCAGTCAGCAACCAACAAACGTGGCAAAATCAATCCAATCTATCGATCAATTGGAAAAATCATGGATAAATATAAGATCAAGACTCAGATCAAAGGAAGATAAAATCAAAATAAAGAGGTAGATAATAACAGGGTAAACGTCAATAATAACCAACTAACATCGAGGTTGATAGGACTAGCTGTAAATCATATGTAGAGAAATTCGAAAATTTCACTCATCTCTGAAGATTGTGTTGATGATTTTGCTTAAAAAAACAATGAAATCTCCACGAACAAACCATCCAGCTCGGAGCATGAAAATTCACCAAAACAAACGAATATACAAGTATAGACAGTTGCATGATTTGTAAAAACAATGATTTATACCATAGCTTTCTTTATAAACTAACATCAAAACTCAAGTGTTATAAGAAGCTCTTAGGAAGCGAAATGTGTGTGCTGGTTGTTTTCGAATTGTTTACAATGACAGACCTGATTCCTTCATTCATCTCCTTACGAGCTCTAAAGGGAGCAAAAACAGCCATATCAAAACAACACCCGCCGATTCTGAGTACATATATATATATAA